AAATCAGACCACTGTTGAGGTTTTCTTCCACTCTGAATTTTTTACCACCTTTAGGGTATCTTATCCCCCCTTTTGCCACTTTGTGTGTTTTACACCTTGTTTGGTTGTCTCTCTGTCACCCCCTTCATTGTATGTTATCCCCCCATTTGTGTCTCATTGCCCCTTTGTGTATTTTACTTCCACCCAGCCCCTTTGTGTATCTCTTACTTCCCCAAAACCCTTTTTGTGTCTCTTACTTAGTCCCAGCCTCTTTGTGTGTCTCTTCCCCCCACACAGCCCCGTTGTGTGTCTTCCTCCCCCAACCCTTTGTGTGTTTCTGTCTCCCCCCTTGTGTGTTTCTCCCCCAGTCGCTTTATGTGTATCTCCACTGTGTCTGCTTACCTCTTGTTGTAGTGAGGCCTTGTTTTTGCTCTACACAGTCTGACAGCTATCTGCACGCTGCTCTCAGATTTGGTAGAGGATAAATAAAATTCTCATGGTCCATGGGGCCACGCTATATGGAGTGTCCTGCAGTAGAGGGAGTGCAGCCACTTATGCTATGGTAGCACCGAACCTATGCTCTTGCAGCTCTTTGGTACAATTACGGAATTTGCTGATGCTATATTAATAATAAAATAATAATAATAATAATACTGATTCATACCAGCAATGGGTGCTGTGATAAGCTGAAAGTGATCATCTGACATTTTCAGACAATCACTGCTGCCCCTTCCTGCCAGGCTAATGCTTCCTTAATAGCGCAGTCAGCAGAGAGGGATGAGCTACTGGGGCCTATTGTTTAACATCCAAATATGAAAATTGTTTAATGCTAAATAGAAGGACAGCACCAGGGGACTCCAGACACTACAAGCACTTCAATGAGATGAAGCAGCAATGGGGCCTACAGTGTCCCTTTAAGTCTATGTGCCCAGGGAAAAGGAGTGAGCTTGCAAGCTATCCTTTCATTTAATCCCAAAGAAAGCATGCAGAAAAAAACACATACAGAAAATGCTAAATCCTTCACTAAATCACTCTGTGATATTGAAATGTCACCAAAAACACCAAGTGCCCTCAGTGAATAAACAGTATAAATAACTTCCCTCTAAGTTGTAGATTGTGACCCGAAGATCTCCTCAAATCTTCCACACGCACATAAATACACAAATTAGGGTCAATCCAACTATAGGGAAACAAAAAATAACATAGTGCAACTCCGTGTGAAGCTTCTACAGTAATAATGTTAGCCAAATGGATCACTCACACTTTGACTGAATGAATAAGGCGTATCAAAAATCTGTGTAGCTCTCATTAATTTTTTGTTTGTTTAACCTGCCAACATTACTGTAAAGTCCCTGAGGAAGTCCCAGCAGTGGGAAGAAACGCGTTGGACAGATGGTGGACAGTTTATGAAATTTTATGCTGATTGATTCTAACTTATGTGTAAGTAATAAATATATTTTTTAGTTTGTACACATTTCTTTGCTTTTCATTTTGGATGTATCTTTATCTCTTTGTATTACTGAGACTTGGAAGTTCATGCATTGGAGTAAGAACACTGCCTGAGAGCTACACGGATTTTTGATACGCCTTATTCATTCAGTCAAAATGTGAGTGATCCATTTGGCTAACATTATTACTGTAGAAGCTTCACACGGAGTTGCACTATGTTATTTTTTGTTTCCCTATAGTTGGATTGACCCTAATTTGTGTATTTATAAGAAAAAAACACATGCCTATTTAATCTACTAAATAGTGAATTACCACCTCTCCCCCCCAATTGAGTGTTCCTTTAAACGGAAATTTAAAAATAAAGAAATGCAAAGTTTCTTTTTGACATATCACCAAATTTAATGTTAATACATACCATACATAATTATGTACTTTTATTATTTAGGCACGCTGGTGGGCCATTCTATTAATTATTTTAACCTTGGCTGCATTGATGGCTGGAACAGTATTCCTTTTTGGTAGAACTGTGGACTCTGAAAAAGGTAATATTAATAAATGAATATATATATTTAGGATGCATGAATATGCACTGCACATTTTGGCCGGACTAGCATTGCTTCTGACATAAGTGAAATTACAGATGACCTCCCTCATACAATAAGGGTAACCTAGAAGATGCATGGAGAGAGATGTTTGCTTATATGAAGGCCTTGTAGAATAATATGCATAGAGGTTATAACGCATGTATTTTATTTTATATGATGACAAATAAAGGAAAGAGGGAGATATTACATTAAACATATAATTAAATAGGCAAGTAAAAAATTATGGTAAAGTGGGGATCTTCACAAGTGAATTGTAGTACATAAAAATCTAACTGTAAAATTGATGTAAAAAATAAATGTAAAAAAAACAAAACATTAAAGCTAACAAACACTGCTTATATTAAATGTTATATAAAATCTAAATCAGTACAATACGGTACCATGAAAATGGCCAAAGAGTGCTGTAGGACAGAGATGCCTATAGTGATCTTTGATTGTAAGTAATGAAACGTATATATTTGTATCACTGCGCATTTATGTGACCGTGCATCATTTTCTTGTACACAGAAAAAGGATAGGGGGCACTCCCGGGACCTGCATTTTGTATGAAAGGTGCTGCCGCAGTGACCAAACTTCATACATAAGAGAATAAATAGTTGCAGCGCACTCAGACTACAAAAAAATATAATACAAACAAGGCTACTAAAATGCCTATCTGAGAATAAATATGGGGATTTAGTTCCACCATATAGCCATATGTTGTTAAGCCCACCACTACTTTCAAAGTACCCCAATATTGGTGGGTCCTACGCTAAAAATGTGGGGGACAAATTAAATAGTACTAGTGTTGAAAATAACAAGTGTTAAATTAAATCCTAATAAGAGCATAGTCAGTATACAAAAATAAGTGACGAAAGCAATTAAAAACAGTGTTAAAACTAAACAAATAATGTGTTCGTGCTAAAATGAGTATACTCACTATTGCAGATGATATCTGTGCTGACTAGAGAAAATAATAAAAGTGACTTAACTATTGAGAAACTCCTCCTATTTATACACACCTGTGGCCACCTCTAAAGGAGCCTCTGAAGCTGAAGTATTTTCTTGTACAGCATAATAGATTACTTAATTATATTACTAATTATTAACTGTGCTTACTTTTGTACTTTTTTGTCTTTAACCATGCTCAAAACAGGATTTTGGTCTTATAATGCATGAAAAAAGTTATATGTAATGTGTATTTAATTTTTTAGATACAGGAGTGAACAAGTCATCTTTGAAAAAACAGAGTCAGAGGAACCGCACAGTTTACTGTGAAGAAGACATTACTACATCTGCCTACCTTCAATATGAGACTAGATTGTAGGAAACGTGACATGCATACACCTGCCATTTCTTTTAGCATTTCCGGTGGAGATATGGATATAAAATTTTAAGATTTGCACATTATGGTTTTTTACTGCTGAGTCTTATAGTAAGAGCTGTAGAGAGACATAGAAAGAAGAAAATTAACCTGACAAAGGTTGCAGTTTTCAACCAATCAGAATATATTTGTGTAATTAAATCATGTTCAGTGATCAGAGAATGCACAGTTGAGAATAGAGCAATGGAAGACTCCTTCTACGAAGACGATTCACATCTCTAAGAGCAATACGATTTAAATGAAACTTCAATGACTCTTGCATATAAAGTAAAAGTGCTCATGTGTGAATTTATGCAATTTATAAAAAAAACTCAGTATTGCTTCTCACTTGACTTCTGTGGATATATAACTGTCAACATATTGTTCTACTTAAACTTGCAAAAGATTCAGATACTCAACAAAATATTTATTCACCTACCCATGGAGACTATGCTGAATGTATTAGGAGAGTATCATAATGGACACAAAAAGTTAACCCACATGTGCTTGAGGTTCACGTATTATAACATTACTTGGTACAAAATAAAAACTGCATGGTATATCCATATAAATATTACTGGACAGGCGAGATGTGGGTATTTTGTATGTGCAGATATTAAACCCTTTCTGCTGTATGATGCCTATGGGGTATGACCAACCATGAATGAATTAAAGCTTTTTTTTTGGAGTCAGTCCAATAAATGTTTTTTTCTTCAGTGTAGCTCACACTTCCACTAGTATATGGCCTTTCTGTGGTGTGTGGCCTCTGATGTCAAATTAGATTGGTACTGTAACCCAGTGTTTTCCAACCCAGTCCTCAAGGCACACCTACCAGTCCAGGATTTAGGGATTACCCAGTTGTGTCTAAGGTGTTTTTTTTCTTCTTTGTAAAAACACCTTAGACACAACTGGGTAATCCCTAAATCCTGGACTGGTAGGTGTGCCTTGAGGACTGGGTTGGGAAACACTGCTGTAACCTACGCTGTTCCTGTACTCTTTGCTGGCTTGTTATTATTATTTATGAGTTGTTACTTCTCTGGTGGTTAGATTGACTAAATCCATTAAAAAAACGGACTGTGAGAAAGGTAGTCACTAAAAAGGTATTGATGGCCCAGTGCAAGGCTTCCTCGTTGAAGCCAAGGACTTAGCTGGAAAAAGATAGATAAACGAACAGGCACCATCTACACAACCTTTCATAAACAATTTGGCCCCTTAAGGTAAGACAGCATCCTGGACCTCCAGGCACAAAAACAACTTTATTAAGATGAAGTTATTATGGTGCGAATAGTTTTTTTAAGAGGAAGGGTGGGAAAAAGCAACAAGCTTGCATTAACATGTGTATGTCCCAGAGACATAGGGAACATAAATAAATAGAAAGAAACTCCAAACAAATTTTCACTTACCTGAAATTGTTCCTAGGTACATTGAATATACCATATATCAAAAATGTATTCTATTTTTACTTTGTTTTCTGTATTCAAGTATTCAATACATATCTTTTTTTGGCATTCTTTATTTTTGCAGTGCCGGGCCAAACACATAGGCTTTAATGACATTTTACAAGAGTATATAAACAATGGTATACATTATGGATATGTAACATGTAATATCGAGAATGCTGCACTTTTTTTTAAAAACAAAGTAAGTCAGACAAGTATACATCAAGTTATGAGCCGAATAAGATAGAAATATGCTTAGGAAATTGTAAACAGCTTAGTATTTCATCTGGATAGCTCCACAGGAAACATTTTAACATCCAGAACATGTAAGGATAGAAATTGCTGTCTAGAATAGGAAAAGTAAATAGAGATATGAAAATAAAAATAAAGGAAAATTGCAGTATATCAGGTAAATTGTAAGAGATACGGCTATACACCCAGCACTCTGGTCAGCCTATGCCTGCCATAAGCATGGCACAGTCGCCCAATATGGCACAGGTCTTCAGGCCCAGCATCACATTTGCTGGTAATAGGCCTAATATCAGCAGGGAGTATCCGCTCCTCACTCCAGCCTGCTGCAGAATCCCCAAGCTTGTATCAGGTATATTCAGCATCGATGTAGGCCTTGTCACCACCCTTCTTGATGCGTGCTGATGTGGCCTTTGGCACACTTTTCTAACGATGGGGATCACTGGTTGGCATTTGATACAGTGGGGGGGACTTCCAGGTGCCTGGACAGTTCGCGGAGCAGGTATGATCAACCTGGACTGTATTTTCTCCCAGAAGTCTTTGAATATTACATCAAGTCTATGTAAAGCAGAGGACATTTATTTTCAGATTTCCAGAGTAAATGTGGCATCTGCCATGTTGAGTGTGCTATTGTCAGAATTGCTGATGATTGCAGCACTACCTCATGTCCCCGATAAGGCTTGGGTACCTTTAGGGTCGGGATCACCCCTGCTGGTCCAAAGGGGGGATACGAGGGTGCCATCTCAACACTATTGTTATGCAGCCTGTGCCGGGCAGAGGGATCAGCTGCCACTTCCATCCACAGCACTTGCTAGGCCGCACATGTCAGAAATCCAGAATGAGAGCCTAAAGAGCAGTTTGCTAAGTTTATTCCTTAATTCATGAGGGGCTCCCTTGAATCACATCCAGTTGTCAATACAGTCAGGCCCTGCCCCCGAAATGTTATCCTTTAACAACTTCTATAAGTGATGTTTTTATACTTATCAGCGGTGGTCTTTATTGGACTGTTTCCTATTTTTCCACTTCTTGTTTCACATAGCTCTATTCTTCTCTATAGTTGTTTAGTTTTGACATTACAGTGCAGAATTTCTCAATGTACCAAATGCTACGGCGTCTAATTAATGTGGTGTCTTTAACCACCATTGATGCACTTCCAGGGAAATAAATGGTCCCCTGCACATCTTTGTATTGTCCTGACTTTCACTGACTTTGCTTTATTTCTCTTCCACCGGCATGTTCTGTCTATTCACCTAATCAGTCAATGGTACAGCAGTAGGCTGATAATTTTATTATCTGTCTTTTGTATGCTCATTAATGGTACCTAGGCACTCTTTGTAAGGCATGAGTACCTTAGCTTTTGACACCTCTAGCTTATAGTGAGGTCTGTTTAAGAACACTCGTATTATTTTAATCTGTAAATAGCAGACAATTTCTTGCACATCTGTGATTTATATATATGCTATTTTGGGGGGATTCAATGATTTAAAAGATTTTCAGTCATAGAGAATTTTACTGTACCTCTTGTTATCATGCAATATTTAGTTATTTCCCTTTCTATTAGTGCAGAGCAATAAGTTTACAGTTTCAAACCAAGCAGTCATGAACTGATACATATGTTTGTAAAAAATTTTTTACAAATCTTTACTTTTGTTGTGCATGTTAAAAACAAAGATTGCATGATATACACCGAAATAACACAGAATTAGTTTGTCAAAGATAATAAGTGTACATATAGATCAGCACATTTTTATAATGTATGTAGAACAAGAATATATCTGTAGACTGCAAGAACATTGGGGACCAATAAAAAGCCAGTTCTGTAATATAGCATTGTGCAGATTTAAGCAAATGTTGCAATAAAACTTGAGTAACGAGAGAGGTCTACAGATAGGTAAGTAAAAAGTGATAAAAAGCAAACAGAAGGATCATCTCTGTACAACCAAATAGAAAAGAAAAAGGGGCAGCAAAACTAAAAGACGGGGCTACCTCAAAGACCCAACATAAATAGAATAATGCAGCAAATCAGGAAAAGGCTGTGCCAACTGTGAGCAAATGAGTTAAAAATATTAAAACACTAAAACAAATAAACAAAGTAGCAAATATAAAAGTCCAAAGTGAGTCTGTAAACTTGCAAAGCTAACAGCCAAATACCATAGAGGAGTCTTTTCTTCCTTTTCTATAGGGATACCAGATCCAAAGTTTTCTGGGAACCGTGTAGATACAAATGATAAAACAAAGAAGTAAGCCAAGAGTGCAATATGTTCCAATAATTTGTGGTTCTTTTAACCCCTTAAGGACCAAACTTCAGGAATAAAAGGGAATCATGACATGTCACACATGTCATGTGTCCTTAAGGGGTTAAAGTGCAAGTCTTATATGTTCCTACTCACATTTTATAGAGCTAAGACCAACTCTAGTTTGATGGGTGTAAAGTGGTATAATCCCCACTTGTAGGATACGTGTAGTAGTGAAGTCAAGTCGTGCAGTTTTCATAGGTATATGGATCATGAACCCAAAAAATTACTATAGTGCTCACTGTGTACACTAACCACGAGTAATAAATAAAAATAAATGTACTCACATTTGATTCAACAGACACACCACTCAATGAATAAGGTGTGAGTGGTATAATCCCCACCTAGGATTCTTACGTGAGATTCTCTCTGGAGTGATGATCAAGGTGCCAGACCAAACATTTAAAAAAAAAAAAAGCAATTAAAAAGGAAAATGGTACAATCACAGTATAAAAGTAGCCCAAATCACTTTAATTAAAATGCTTTAAAAAATCCACATGTTTCATCGCATAGGGCTTTATCAAGTGGAAACAAAGTAATAAGTATTAGACCATCAAGTTTGTGGCAAATTTGCTTTTGCAATAGTAGGTAACATATGAGTGGCATAACTAGAGGCTAAATAGACAATCTGACTCATAAAGCAAAGGAAAAAAGAAAACTAAAACGTCTATCTTTAAAATTGGTGAACCATAACTGAGAAAGATAGACTTAAATAAGTCATTGATACTGCTTCAACCGATACCACAGGTATGCCTTAATTGTGAACCAGTTCCACTTCCAAGCACACGACGATTCTCATGTTGCTTCCCGGCCACATATGGGGATTTCCCAGATTCTGTAGAATAATATAGTGTGTCAGCTTCTGCGCTCTCTAAGCCCAGGTCGGTGTATGAGCCGGTGCCTGTGTGTTACGAAGCACTTCGTTCCAGTGGTAGGGCTGCTGTTCTGCATGGTGCATTCGTATGTATGACTTCTGTTGATTGCAAGCTTAACGTAATTTAGTAAAATAATACGACTTTTTGTTTCTCTTAGAAAGCAACTAATGTATTTCATTGATCATATGTATTTGATCTAATCCTTTTCTGCGGCCATTGCTTATGTTCTGGTTTTGCACTGTATTAAGTCGACTTATAATTTGTATTGGTGAATTTCATTTTTTTATTGCATTTAGTATGGAATTTCAATAGTCTTCATTTTATTTTCTTATACGGAAATCCTGACTCTGTGTATCACTTTTGTCCTGCATCTGTTTTGTTCCTTTTCCCGTTACACGTAAGACAGTCTGTGTCAATCTAAGCATCTTTCTCCTCCCCTTATAGGTATTTTTATTGGTTCTTTTTCTACCAATCAGAGCATGAGACCCCCTTTTAAGAGTATCTGTTTAGTTCTCTTTCCCCTTGAAGAGCCACCCGACCTGCAAAATGTCAGGGGTCTGCTGGTTGGTTGTTTTTACTACCTTTCTATTTTTGATTTTGACTTCTAAGTTTGATCTACCTGATCATTACATTTGCAGCACCAGCTTTTTGTTATTTGGTTCAGCTGGAACTAGAAACCATGTGAAGCAAGTTAGTGGGCAGGTGACCTCGAAGGCATGTTTAGGGACAGTACCTTAGCACACCTTTATTTGTTGTTTTCTACTATTTTTGTAACAAAGACAGAGAATATGATAACCCAAAGGGCAGATAAAAGCTTATCAGACTGATCCCACCCATAAGGCAAGTTCTCTCTGCATGAGAGATACAGCAACCTATCGTTTCAGCCTTCTCACGGCATCATCAGCGACCTGTAGCTAATACCTCTCTAGGAACAGTGAGCTTGTTTCCACATCTGGATTACCATTTTAACTTAGGGAGAACCCAAGTTAATGCATTGCAACAAAAACAGAGAATGTGAGAACGGACAAAAGCTTTGAGAAACTCAATAGCTTGCTCTTCGGTAAAACTCCACTCAGGTCTCCTATATACACATATTATTTAACCTCTGTGTTTTATGGGAAATCATTAATATTTCATTAATTAGTTCAGGCTGATTTATCTCTTGGGCGTTGCTTTGCCTTACAGAATGACAATATCTATGTCTATCTATTTACTGTTCTTCCATGACATTTAACTTAATTATTCTCCAACTCATATGCACATTATAACCAGTAGCAGATCCAGGGGGGGCAACGGGGCAATTGCTCCCTCCCCCCCCGAAATTTTACAAGGCAGGGCAAGGCTCTCCCCCACCGGCTAATGCAGGGCTGGCACTGTCCAAGTGCCAGCCCTGCAATGTGCCTTCATGGACCGGAAGGGAGATCAGAGATTCTCCTCCCCGGTCTGCAGGCACCGTGCGGGCAGCTGGCAGGGGCCACCCATACACACACTGCCTCACACACACACACTGCCCACCCACACACATACACTGCCACCCATACACACACTACCTCACACACACACACACACACTGCACAATCATACACATATTGCTCCCACACACATACACTGCACACCGATACACAAATTGCCCCACACACACTTCCCCCATACACACACACTGCACACCCATACTCACATTGCCCCACACACATACACTGTCCCCCATACACACATTGCCCCACAGACACATACAGTGACCTGTGCCCTAGACACACTGCCCCCCATACACACATTGCCCCACAGAGATATGCAGTGCCCCATACACACATTGCCACACACACGCCCCCCATACACACATTGCCCCACAGACACATACAGTGCCCCACACACACTGCCCCCCCCTTCAATTTATATTGGACAAAACATACTAACTATATATACTTTGGACACACACACACATGGCCCCCCACATACACACATTGCCCAAAGACACATACAGTGCCCCACACACACCCCCATACACACATTGCCCCACACACACACGACCCCCCCAACCACACACTGCCTCACACACATACAGTGACACACACACACATACAGTGCTCCCCATACACACACTGCCCCGTACACACACTGCCACCCATACACACATTGCCACCCATACACACATTGCCCCCATACACACATTCACTGCCCCATACACACATTCCCCCCCACACATATACAGTGCTCCCCATGCACACACTGCCCCCCACACACACACATATAGTGCCCCCCACACACACTTTTACACAGACACTGCCCACACATACACTGCCCCCCATACACACATTCTGCCCCACACACATTGCCCCATGCATACACTGCCTCACACACACATACACTGCCCCCCATACACGCACTGCCCCCACATCCACTGCTCCAAACACACATACACTGCAAGCTTCACACACACACACTGTAACTCTCACACACACTGACCCCCTCACACACACACTGCAGCTCTCTCACACACACTGCCCCACACATACACTGCCCCCTAACACACACACTGCAACCCTGACATGCACTGGGCCCTTAAGCATTCACACACACACTTGACCGCTCACACACTACACCCCCCCACACACACTGCACCTTTCACACACACTGCACCCCTCACACATACCACTGCTCCTATGCCCTATATCCCAGTAGACCCCAGGTAAGTTGTCAAACTGTTCTAAAACGGTTTGACTACGTACTCTGGGATTGGGTCCTTGCACTACTGTCACCATAACTACTACACTGAGCTGTAGTGGTTATTGTGCCTGGATTATTTCTTTAAATAATCTACAAGTGCCCCTCCCGAGATCAGGCTCTGGATCCGCCACTGATTATAACTACACTAAAATTATACTCCATACTTATTTCTATCTTGAGATGTTTTGTATATTGTAAATACAGGTTAAGCAGTATCCCAATTTTTATGGGGACTTAATTTCTATTCTGTGCTCCCTATTTTATTTTCAGGGGTTCCCTCCTCCCCCTCACCACCTTTACAAGCTCAATTTTTCTTGTGTCCCAAAGGCAATTGTGTACTGTGTCATTCTAGGTGCCTTTGCAAAAATATGCATAGATTATTACTCAGCATAGTGAAACAAGAGAGCTACATGTAAAATAATATCAACTGAAACAAGACCGTTTTGAAATATTTAGTGTTTACCCCTAGGTAAAGATCATACATTTAAGGAACACTCCAGACACCATAACAACATCATTGGGATGGAATTGTTATTGTGCTAGGACGCTCCTGGCACCAGCTTACCTATAGGCGTAAACCAAACTGTTTAGCACCACCCCTGTCCTTCCGCTGCTCTCTGATCCTTCAAACAGGAAGCCTAGGACTGATACGTCAGCTGCCGCTCTAAGTCTATTGCTAGCTCTCCATTAATTAAAGCAGCTTGAAAAAAATACATACATTTCTCTAGCTTGTGAATAGGGAGCTATTCATTAAGAGTGCCCCAAGATTTATTTTACCCTATGATTAAATGTTTATGATTAGGCCAGATAGAGTTATTTGTAGTAGTTAATTGGTAAAATAAAGAAATATACTGAAATGAATATTTGCTAGAAAAAGATGTACTCTAATGGGTTTAGCTGACCAGTCTTTTTCTTTACTTTCCATTAAATACATTATTATGAGAGGGTCTATAAGTACTAAGAAATTCCTATTGCATAACTACCCTTCTTAACTCTTGGTTTAAATTTTAATAAACTTATTAAATGGGTTTTTTTTCACAATGTCTTTAAAAAGTCCTTGGGAATTAACTTAACCACTCTTATGTGCTTTAATGAAAGCTGATGTTTGAAAGTTGTAAAGATCAAAACAACAAAATCAGTTATCAGAAATGCAAAAAGTTTGAGTTTATTTTAATCAATTCACATATACATTACTTTAATCAAGATTTTATTATAAACATCTTTTCAAACGATTTAGTGATCTCTTGATTTTTTAGTGAATATATAACTGGATTAAGTAAAGGAGTGACAATAGTATACAGAAGAGAAAGCAGTTTGTTAATGCCTATTAAATGCTTTTGTGCTGGTATGCCATAGAGAATAAAGAGTGTCCCATAGTACAAGGACACTACTACAAGATGGGAGCTGCATGTTGAGAAGGCCTTCTGTCTTCCTTTCTCAGAGCGCATCCTAATAATCGTATACATTATGGAGATATAAGACATTATAATAAGTAGAAATGGAAAGAACGTAACCAAAAAAGACAACAAGAAAGCTAACATTTTGACTGTTGTAGTGTCTGAGCATGCAAGGTTTAAGAATGGGGCAAGGTCACAGAAGAAATGGTCAATAGTGTTCCGATCACAGTACTGCAACTTGTATACACTTACAGAAACTGGAAGAGTAGGGATAAATCCAACAAGCCAAGAAAAACAAATGAGAGAACGACAAAGGGTACTGGTCATTATGGATGAATATCGAAGTGGGTTACATATAGCCAGGTAACGGTCATAGGACATCACTGTTAACAGTAAACACTCTGTAGCTGTTAGTGAACCAAAAATATAGAACTGCAAGACGCAACCAGCAATTGACATGGCTTCTTCTTCTGTCCATAGAATGTGTAGCATGTTGGGTACAATATTAGTTGTCAACAACACATCAGATAATGAGAGGTTACCCAGAAAGAAGTACATAGGTGTATGGAGGTGAGTCATTGTTGGCACTAAAGCAATGATGAAGCAATTACCCATGAAGATCACAATGTAAATGAGAAGGAGCAAAGTAAAAAGCAACATTCTATTCTGGTGAATGTTTTTCAGACCGATGATGATAAATTCTGTTACAGTAGTCTGATTATTGTTGTTCATTGTCTGGAGGGGAGAATGTAGACATGAGACATTTACATGTTTTTTGGGGGTTGTTTTGCAATCTCCTCAGCCAGGCCAGTGGATTTATGAGGAAAAAAAACTATCCACGTGGCATGGAGGACACCAGAAAATATACATGAATGTGAAGCATTAAATGTACTCTCTGTCTTCAGGACTGTCTTGAAGTAGACTTTGAGATTGAGTTATAATACAGGCTCTAGAACAGCCATGAGGAGTTCACGGTGACATAGAGCTGAAGGGTAGAAATTACAGGATAATAAATTCATTCTCATTTTTCCTACCAACCAACCTGCTCTGTCTATGCTCTAAATTATAGGCCTGATAGATAGTGGTGTCTACAGGATTCATACCAAGGGGCCAGGGACAAAAGAAGGTGGGCAGTTATTAAATGTGTGTGTATATATTTATATACACACATACATACACAGGGCTCAACAAATTCCAGGCGCCATGCCACCATGATGACTAGACATTTCACCCTGGTGCCTGGCATTTGTCAACCCTTCGCTAAGCTGCACAGGAAACATTAGAGCCGGCAAGCATGCGGGGAGCATGGAGACGGTGCGTAAGGGAGCAGTAACCTTTCTGCAGTTCCTCTCTGCTCCCTTGCGCGCTGTTTAGTGACATGACGTCACTCTGCCCCTGGCATCACTACAGAGAGCGCGCAGAGGAGCAGAGAGAAACTGCAGAAAGATTGAGAGGAGACACACTGGATGCCAGGGAAAGATCGACTTAGCTCACCTATAGGCTGGGGGGATTTAAATTAAAATAAAAATGGCAATTTGAGAATGTGTGTGTGTGTGTGTGTGTGTGTGTGTGTAGAAACATAGAAACATAGAATGTGACAGTAGATAAGAACTATTCGGCCCATCTAGTCTACCCAATTTTTAAAAATACTTCCATTAGTCCCTGGCCTTATCTTATAGTTAGGATAGCCTTATGCATATCCCACGCATTCTTAAACTTCTTTACTGTGTTAACTTCTACCACTTCAGCTGGAAGCCTATTTCATGCATCCACTACCCTCTCAGTAAAGTAATAGTTCCGGATATTATTTTCAAACCTTTGCCCCTCTAATTTAATTTGTCCTTTTTCCTAACTAAGGCCCATTTCCTTCATTTTCATCTGTAAATACTGAACAAAAATATTCATTGACCTTTATCCTCCTCTACATACCTTCCTTCTTTTGTTTTTAATCTAACTAATCCTTGAATTTACTTTCCCTTTCTCATTTATGTATCTAAAAAATGTTTTGTCCCCCTTTTTTTTACTGTCTTTGCTATTTTCTCTTCTGTGTGTGATTTTGAAGCTCTTATAACTTGCTTAGCCTCTTCCTGCCTAATCTTATAGATCATTCTGTCTTCCTCACTCTGGGTTTTTTTTTATAATTACTAAATGCTAACTTTTTGCTTTTTACTATTTTGGCCACATCTGCAGAGTACCACAGTGGTTTTTTTTGTTTGTTTGTTTTTTTGCTTTTACTGACAAGCCTAATGCAATTTTCTGTTGCCTTCAGCAGTGCAACTTTTAAATAATCCAATTTCTCTTGGACTCCATTTAAATTGCTCCAGTCTGATAATGACTCCTTTTCACATATTCTAATTTTAGAAAAGTCTGTTTTTCTAAAATCTAAAACTTTTGTTTTTGTGTGGTGTGACTCAGTCACTGTTCTTATATTAAACCACACTGACTGATGATCACTGGATCCTAAACTTTCACCTACAGTAATATCTGATACCAAATCTCCATTTGTTAACACTAAATCTAGTATGGCCTCCTTACGAGTTGGCTCCTCAACGACTTGTTTTAGAGACAATACCAGTAGGGAGTTTAGAATATGTGTGCTCCTGGCACAAGCAGCTATTTTGGTTTTCCAATTCACATCAGGAAGATTAAAGTTATCCATGATGATAACTTCCCCCTTAATTGTCATTTTAGCTATTTCCTCAACTAGTAGATTATCTAACTCTTCTATTTGTCCTGGGGGCCTATAAATCACACCTACATGAGTTACTGTGTGATTACCAAATTCTAACGTAACCCAAACGGACTCTATGTTCGCCACACTAGCTTTTATTAGGCTAGATTTTATGCTATCCTTCACATACAGGGCCACTCCTCCTCCTTTCTTTCCTTCCCTGTCTTTTCTATATAAAGGGTACCCTGGTATTGCTATGTCCCAGTCATTTTTCTCATTATACCATGTCTCAGTAACAGCGACTAAATCTACATTATCAGTTGCTGTAGAATATTGCATATTCTATATGTTCCTATTCAAATACATATTAAGGTGTGGTTGTCTAATGGGTTAAACAGAACAGATGGTGTTTGCTATTCTGTACCATGAGGTCTCTGGAATTTGCTGTATAAGAGATTTGAGGTGGTCTCTATATAGGGAACTTCCTTATATGGCAGAGTCTAAACTAAACGTTATGACGTAATTTGGGCTATATAGAGCCAAGGACAAAGGATTACAGGCTCTTCCTGCTACGATCCGTTTTGCTCTCCTCCCTGATGTCAAGACGACTTTCTGTAACGTCGTTAAGAAATACCATCTGTTAAGTATATTATTGTTTGCTGTTGAATGTAAAATAAATACTTATTTTTTATAAAGAACGTCAGATTGCGTATTAGTACTTTTCAATAATATAGACATATATTACTGTGGCGAGCCTGACCCAAAAGAAGAAATATCTATATATATATATATATACATAAAAGACTTATTCAACTAAAGAAAAACACAGCCAGTTATTACAGTTGCCATTATTGCCACAAGTTCATGGATCTTATTCCTTCAATTGCAAGCATCTCTAGATATGACTCTAAGCTTATCATTTTTTAACACACTTGCTACAGATACCTTCTGTCCTTGTTTTGGGGGGCAATTGGATTGATGTTTTATCACCCTTTTGCCCCCCTTCCCAGTTTAAATACATCCTAGCAAAACCTCTGAACTGCTCACTGAAAACATTTGTTCCCTTTTGAGAAAGATGAAAACCATCTTTTTTTTTGTACAGTTTATTTCCATTCCAAACATAGGTACCATGAGAAATAAAGCCATTCACCAAGCCACAAGTTAAAGTCCCTAATACGCATCCGCCTGTCGTTCTGAGTGTTATGCACAGGCAGAACTTAAGAGAATGACAGTGTGGAAGCAACCTGCCATATATAATTGGCAAAAACACTAAAAACTTCCTTTACCTCTGAAACCTCATTGCAAACCAAGTCATTTGTCTCTAGATGGACAAGTACATCCAATTCCCCTTCCTGCTTTGCTCGCTTAACAATATTACAAATACATCTCCTGTCTCTGTGAGCAGTAGCTCCGGGAAGACATCTCACAAGACCACCATTGTCCATCTCCACACCTCTTATGATAGAATCCCCCAACAACAACAGCTTTCTATTTGGCCTCACCATAGTCTCCAAGCCTGTCTCCACAACACCACTACCCTCAGTGCCTGAGCCTGTCTCCACAACACCACTACCCTCGGTACATGAGCTTGAACTCTAAGTCTACCAGATCCTACAGTAATCCATCTGCCATTCCTAGTACGTCTCTGTGGCAGTGGCTTTCAGGGCTGCCATCAGAAATTGTGGGGCCCCTGACACAGCTCAAGGTCTGGGCCCCCTGGTGCCTGCACCCGAGTCCGCCCAAAGTGCTGCAGTGAGTGTGTGTAAGGGGTGCATTGTGTATTGCTGTGTGTAAGGGATGCATTGCTTGTGTATGTGTGTCTGTGTGTAATGCATTGTTTGTTTTTCTGTGTGCAAGGGGTGCATTGTGTGTGTGTGAGATGTATGTCAATCTCTCCCCCTCCCCCCGTCAATTTCCTTCTGCCCCCTCCAATTTCCTTCTTCTCCTCCTCCCTCCCTCTCTCCAATTTCCTTCTTCTCCCCTCCTCTCCAATTTCCTTCTTCTCCCCCCCTCCAATTTCCTTCTTCTCCCCCACCCTCCAATTTCCTTCTTCTCCCCTTCCCTCTCCAACTTCCTTCTTCTCCCCCCTCCAATTTCCTTCTTCCCCCCCAACAGCTTCCTTCTTCTCCCCCAACAACTTCATGCTTCTCCCCTCTCCAATTTCCTTCTTCTCCCCCTCCTCTCCGTGTCCTTCTCCCCCTTCCCTCTCATTGCCTTCTCCTCCCTCAATTTCCTTCCTCCCCCCCTCAAATTTCCTTCCTCCCCCTCCCAAATTTCCTTCCCTCCCCCTCAAATTCCTTCCTCTCCCCCCTCCCTCAATTTCTTCTTCTACCCTCCAGCTTCCTTCTTCTCCCCTCAATGTCCTTCTTCTCTCCCCTCCAGCTTCCTTCTTCTCCCCTCCTCTCAATTTCCTTCTCCCTTCCCTCTGTTGCCTTCTCCCCCAAAATTTTTCCTTCTCCCCCCTCAAAATTTCCTTCCTCTCCCACCTCCCTCAAAATTTCCTTCCTCTCCCACCTCCCTCAAAATTTCCTTCCTCTCCCTCACCTCAAAATTTCCTTCCTCTCCCTCACCTCAAAATTTCCTTCCTCTCCCCCCCTCCCTCAAATTTCCTTCCTCCCCCTCCCTCCCTCAAATTTCCTTCCTCTCCCCCCCTTAAATTTCTTTCCCCCTCTCCCTCAAACTTCCCCACCCTCCCTCCCTTCCTTAAATTTGTTTCCTCCCCTCAAAATTTCCTTCCATCTTCCGGCTCCGGCATCAGTACGGTGCGCGAGGGAGCTGAAGAGGAAGCACACAGAGGAGAGTGCTCCCTCGCGCGCCGGCCGGCTGTCAGGGCCAGCCTCTGGGGGGCCCTGAGGTGACCGGCTGCTGGGCCCCCCAGGAGAAGAGGCTGGCCCAGTGGGTACATACCGGGGTCGCAGGGCCCCCTGCGACCCGGTATGTACCCACTGAATGTGGGGCCCGGACGACCTTAGCAGTCCGGGCCCCCCAGGACCGCCGGGCCCATGACAACCGTTGCG